CGATTTTACACCAGTCAAATCATTCGCCATGGGTAGCAACAGATGGTATTTACTTGGTACCAGGTCTGGACTATAAGGTGGATGCATAAAAACTTCTCAATCAAGCTCCTGGAGCTTCTGCCAAGTCGCTATTGAAGTGTGTGGTCCAGTGTTGGCCTGCTGAAACAAAAATTTTCCACTTCTTGACGTAAACTGGCAGCTTCGTTTCTTCAAATAACCGAATTGCTAACAGTACAAACACACAACAAAATATTGCAGACCATCAATACTGACTTGAAGTCTGTTTGTGTCGGCTCACTACCCTTCGACCGCAAACGTTTTCATTTGATGTTGCTGTAATTGCTGTAAGTGATCAACTTTTTTACACCAGTCATAATCCGCTTCAGAGGATTTAGCAGCGATTGCATATGGGATTTCTATCCAATAGGTTTTTTTCTTACGTTAACTCTTGTTGGACCTGTACATCCTGCTTATTCGTTTGCTAAGTACTTCCAATCGGTTTTTTGTGCATTGTTTAGCCAGTGGGCTAGAGAGAGACAGTGCAACCATCACGATTTTTTTTGTTACTCCACATTGTTGAACATATTTTACAACAAAAATATTTTACATCGGAATTAGTAGAAAGCATTTAAACTAATCTCATGAACTTCCTTTTTATATTATAAAGTTTGAGCCTTCCGAGATTAGAGAAACTTCCATTCTTTTGAGGTAATTTTCGACTACTTTTTGGGGCGCTATCTCAGCCTGGCACGATCTCGGTTATCAAAATATGTGTCCGGCAAATTTTTCTCGCAATAAAGTCATATTCGCTCGTGTTGCGTTCCGCCTTATATTAACTTTATATGGATGTCGGTGTGCCGTACAAAAGTCTAAGCTCTTGAAAACGAGAGAAATTGGCACATTCGACTCCTTGACTATACTTTCACTTACGATATTTGAAATGAAACGAACAAAACGATCATGCACTGGTCTTATATTATCTGTAACCGAACCAGCCATTGCTGGAGTAGTTGAACGATACGTATGAACCACCATTTTTGTAGTAGATTTTAAGAATTTTAAGGTATTGTGCGCATGTTAAGCAATCCATTTTCATAAATGTCCGCCTTAAACAAAACATGTTTTGTATGGCAATTAAATTTGACAGATTTCAAAATACAGTTCTTTACTTATGAAACCACGATTAACTATTATTAACCCTAGTTTGGCTTTATTTTTTATATAGAACAAAAGTTAAACCTTTACCTCCGGATCAACTATGTAGATCTTTATGTGTTAGCTTTGGCAAATCCAGAGGCTAAGAAGTAAATGAATGAAAACAACATTCTTGCAGAAGATTTGAAAGCAGCGTTGACACTGGTAACTCTACGAAGTAAAGGAAACCTTCAGCAAGGAATTACCGACACGTCGTGGCTGAAGAACATCGGCTAAAAACCAACTAACTGCCTAAAAGTGTTGTTTGGAGCCGAATATATAGTGTTATGCTATAAACATGCATAAGTTTACGGTAATATCTACTTCCCAGACCAATTTTGAGGGTCATCACCAAATTGTTGACTACTATTTTGCACAAAAATGTGTCTAAATTTGGTGGATTTTACTTGAGTAAAATTTTTCTCGTACTATAATTTTTGCTCCAGTATTTTACACAATGAAATGAAAAAAAAAATTACTACTAAAGTATTGTTAAGTTATTTTTAGTACCTCACATTTGAGGCATGGCTACAGTTAACCTGCAATTAACACCTGATGTTGCCGCCTTTCATAGATTATATAATAATAAACCATAGTAAGGTGGTCGATGGGTGGTAGGTACGTGACAATTTTCCTATTTCCTCATATAATCATGTAATTAATAATTCAATTTCATGCAATCTTTTTTTAGTCTATGAAGAATTATAATAATTTTATTATATGGATGGTTGAGAGTGTACATACATATACATATTTGCAATTAAGGATTTTCAGTAGGCGAATTTATTACACTTAAGTTCTATACACATGTAGAAAGAAGAAAAAACATTTTAGGGTCTAATAAGAAATAGGTTATGTTAACAAGGGAAGCTCGATCCATTTTTCACAGGCTGTGAACTCAAAAATAGGCTTGTTCAGACTGAAATATACGAGTATACTATGTGTTCAAACAAGTGTTTATTAAGCCTAAGAAATTTTTATGCTGAAATATAGCATTCAAGTAAATATATTTAAAAATTTATTTCATAACATCACATTTAGTATGGCAATCATACTTACATACATTTATTCTGCTTTTGACTTCAAATATAAAACATGATTTCTTTGTAAATTTTTAATGCGTATGTATAAGTATATCTATGTAGGTATGCAAAATCTTAAAAGGTAATTCCTTATAAACAATTACAACCCATAAGTTGCAGTAAATAGCAAGTGGGCGTTGAATGTGAACTCTGTCTGAGAGCGAATCAGGACGTCTAAATGGCAAATAAACAAATATACAGACTCTTTTTTATATACATATGCACATATACATATATAATATATGTAAATTGAACTTGAGTATTCCAGCGAACGCCTACATAATTGGAAAATGTGGCTTTTCTTTGTAAATAATCAAAAATTCGTTTCAGTTATTAGACTCTGAACGTAGGCGGTTTATACTCTTATGTGTGAAGGGGATTATTTTGAATTTAAATTAACATTTTTTGGAAGAATTTTCATATCTTATTTTGACGTTTGTTTTTAATCTAACGAAAAATTTCAAATTTTATTTCCATTCTAATCATAACTTTAATTTTATTTTAATAATAATTTATTTTTTATTTAAATTTTAAGCTTTACTTTAACTTTAGTTTTAAATTTAAATTTAATTTGTATTTAATTTAATTTTTATTTAATATAATCTTTATATATTGTAGTTTTTAGTTTTAGTTTTACTCTTTATTTTAATTTTAAGTTTTACTTTAACTTTAGTTTTAAATTTAAATTTAATTTGTATTTAAATTAATTTTTATTTAATATAATCTTTATATATTGTAGTTTTTAGTTTTAGTTTTACTTTTTATTTTAATTTTATTTTTAAGTTTAATTTTAATTTTAATTTCAAATCTGATTTAATTTTTATTTTAGTTGTAAGTTTGTTTTTATTCGAATATTAATTTTAGTTTAGTTTTAATCTTAATTTTAATTGTAATTTTAATTTTAACTTAAATGCTATTATAAATTTGTTTTGATTTTGTTTTTATTAATTTTTTTTTCAACTTTAATTTTGTTTTTAATTATAATGTAAGTTTAATTTGGTTCATAATTTTAATATTAATATTAGTTTAATTTTAATTTTAGTTTAGTTTTAATTTCAATTTCATTAAATATTAACTTCAAATTTAATTTGAATTTGTATTTAATTTTAAAGTAAGTTCTTGATCTTAAGTTTTATTTTTTTTTTTTTCGTTTTAACTTAAATTCGATTTCATTTTTAAATGAAATTTTAATTTTAATATTAAATTTTTTATTTGAGTTTCAATTTCGGTTTAAAATTTAGCTTTTAACTTCCAATTTAATTTTATTTTTAATGTAATTTTGATTTTAGTTGTGATTTTAATTGTAATTCTAATTTTAAGTTTAACTTTTATTTAGGTTTTAATTTTAGTTCTATTATAAATTTTAAATTTTACTTCAGCTTTTATATAAGTTCCAGTTTAATTTAATTTTGACTTTTATTAAATTTATATTAGTTTTTATTTTAATTTTAATTTGATTTTAAACTTAATTTCAATTTTATTTTTGTTTCGTTGTAATTTAATTTTTATTCCGATTTTACTTGTAATTTTAATTTTAATATTAATTTTAATTTTAGTTTTAGTTTTAATTTTAATTTTAATTTTAATTTTAATTTTAGTTTCTTTAAATAGTTGCTTCAAATTAAATTTTTATTAACATATTTATTTCTATTTTATTTTTAATTTTATTCAAATTTATTCTGGCTTTAATTTAGATTTCGTTTAAATTTTAATTATAATTTTAATTTTGACTTAAATTTTCGTAGGAATTTTTTTATGTAATTTTCGTTTGCAATTTTAATTTTAAATTCATTTTAATTTTAATTTTATTTTAGCTTTAATTTTAGTTTTATCATCAATTGTAATATGAATTTTTAATTTAATTTAATGTGAAGTTTTAATATTAGTATTAAGTAGAATTTGTGTTTTTTTATTTTCAATTTTTTTAATTTTACTTCAGATTTAATTTCTATTTTAATATTAATTTTGATGTTAATTAAAATGTAATTTTAATTTTAATTTCATTTCCAATTTCCTTGAATTTTAACTTCATTTGGGTTTTAATTATTTTATGATTTAAATTTTAATTTTGATTTTATTTTAATATATTTTTAATGTTAATTTTAATTTAATTTTTATTTTTATTTTATTTTAGCTTTAAATTCATCAAGGCAGAATCAACTTTATTTGACGCTGAACCGTGGTTAAGAAAGCTCTTCCATTACTGCGCTATACTCCTGGCTTGAGCCTCTTCTTTTGATTATTTTAAATTTTTATTTGATTTCCTTTGAAAATCTAAGCTTAAAAATTTAAAGCAAACAAATTTTATTTGTGTTTTCAATACACTTAAATTATGAAACTTAAACTTATATCCAGGCTAGAAAAATGGATTCAGTTTTGTTTGTTCTTGCCTACATTCAGACGCATTGATAAAAAAAAAGCTTAATTAGAGATCTTTTATAAGTTGCTTGCAATTAGCAGGCTTAATGGGTAAGTTCTTCGACGAATAATGAACTTAACGCCTATTTTTGTATTGAAACTTCAATCAAAACTTAGGGAGAAATATTGAGCAAAATCTCAAGCCTTTACAAAGTGAAAATCTTACTATTAAACAAAGTGATACAGTCCCCTCACATTGACGGCTCATTAGCATATCACTTCCTCATTCTTATTGCATTTCATTTGTTTTACGTCGATTATTCAATGCAAACCCTCATTCTTTCCTTTATCTCTTTACACTTATAGGGCTTCGCCGTAAACCTTTCCGCCAATATTTGCAACAATCTTTTGATGTGTCCACCGATTATTTGGCTCAACTTATGGAAGAGAATGCGCGACGACGCTTACAACAAACGTTCGAGCAACAATTGGAGCGTATCAACTTTCAAATGAATCGGCAGCGACAAATCGACGAACAGCGCGAACGTTTGAATCAACGCCTGCAAATGTTGGCCGGTGAGAATGCGGAAGAGAGCAACGAGGAGAGTGGTGAGGTCGATGTGGAATCGACGGAAATCGAAGGGGACTCCTACAATGCCAATCGAAATCGGTATAATAATTATAAAAATTACAACGGAAATAACAACAACAACGGTATCGACAACAATAATATTGGAAATCAGTACGTGGATCCAAATGGCTTCTTCAGCTACAAGTACTCACCCGTCGACATGTTGAATATGAAAAATAATATAGCTCGTGAACGCATACCCTTCGCAGTGGGACCAGCCGACCCACGTTTCTTTGAGCGTGACAGCGCTGAGGTTGAGGCTGAGGAGAATAATGGAAATAGCGATGAATTGGACTCACGCGCCTTAGATGACTATCAAGAGTTTGTGCCAGCCGAATCACAAAATATTGGTGCCAAAACAGCGCCAGCTGCGTTGCCAGGCGCAACTGGTGTGGCTGCAGATGCGGATGCGGCTACCGCAGACACTACTGATTCCGAAACCGTAACTGTAACAGCTTCTGATGCCAAAGCACCTGTGCTCGCACCAGCACCTGTTGAAGCTGCGAAACTTAGCGATAATGGAGCAACCACATTCCATCGCATCAAACCGCAAAGCGCTGCTGCTGCAGCCGCAGTTGCGGGCGCCAGTGTAGCCGCCGCCATAAAACAGGATGCCACTGAGGACAACAGTAATCCAACACATGTCAATGCGCTCATCAACAAATTGCGTAAGGAGGGCAAATCGGCAACCATTGTTGATGGTCAGGATGCAGCTACTGCGTTGGGAGGAAATGGTGGCGACAATCTGGTGATGCGTCAACATTTAGGAGTAGACGGTGAGATGGGCATGTACTTGGTGGCGTTGATTGCGGGCGTGAGCGCCGCTGTAACAGTGGGTCTGATAGCGCTTGGCATTGCTTGGTATACGTAAGTTAATTGACAATCGTCTGCTCGTCTCGTATTTTGCTAAGTTTTGTCTATGGCTTTTATTGTAGATTGCATCGCAAATCAAAGGCAGCAGCGGATGTTAAATATCCGGCTTATGGTGTGACCGGGCCAAACAAGGACATCTCGCCAACGGGCGATCGCAAATTGGCACAAAGCGCACAAATGTACCATTATCAGCATCAGAAGCAGCAAATTATTGCAATGGAGAATCGTCAGGCGGCTGAGGGTAGCTGTGGCATGTCGGATGTGGAGAGTGATGATGAGGAGAACGAGGAGGGTGATTACACTGTGTACGAATGCCCAGGTCTTGCACCGGTGAGTGCTTATAATATGTACATATATATTTATTTATTTTATTTTTTTTCAATGCAAATCTAAGATTGAGTAAACAAAAAATATACGTATAATATATATATATTTTCTTTTCTTTCTTTATTTCTCTACGCTCTATTCGATTGCTTTTCGTATCCACAGCCAATGAGCGAAATGGAGGTGAAGAATCCATTGTTCTTGGATGAAACGCCAATTACGCCATCGAGCAACAACACCACCACAACCACGACCACAACTTCAACACCAATCATTACCAACAATCTAACACATGCCACACCACAACAACCACCCACACAACAACTCGGCAAGAAGCCCACTTATAAGGTTATAGTCGGTGCTGCACCCAATCCCAAAGCTACCTCAGCAGAATCTACGTCTTCCGAGGAGAATAGCAAAAGGAAGAAGAACAAGAAGTAAAGCAGTGCACACTCAGTGTACAGTATGAAGAAACGGTATCAGTAGCGGTACTTTCATGGTAATTGTGATGTCAAATTGAAATTGAAAAAAAAGAATTCTTTTAGGAAAGTGATTTGTAAGTGATTCACTTATGAGTGAAGAGGATGTAGGTGAAGAAAGAGAAGGGAAAGAAATAGAAAAATGTAAAAATGAAGAGGGTTTGAAGAATTATTTAAATTAAATTGTTGGTTTATATGTGCCGGCGCACTTTTTTTAAGTGTTGAAATGGAAACCAATACAACCAATACAAACATACGAGTACATACATAACTATCACAAGGCCAATTATCACAATAACATAAAAATACAGGTTATAAAGAAATACTATAAGTGTAACATGTACTTACATTGGAAATGTTGAGATGCAATAGTGTGTTAGGATTCACCATTGAATATGTTGAATAGAAATAATACTGTTATAATGTATATACTATAAAGTGGCTAAATGTAACGCAGTTGTAGTGTTCATGAAAAAAAGTGATGTACAAAAATTTCAAATTTCAAATCAGACTTATTATTTTAATATTTTTCGAAATCAAATTAAACATTAATATCGATTACTCGATGTTTATCGAAAACTGTTATCGACATCTCGAATTTATAAACAATAGATTTAAATTAATCAGCTTATCGATATATTGAATTTATAAACAGTAGATTTAAATTAATCGGCTTTTTAAACATTGAGGTTTCTTCGCCAAGAGACTTATTATTTCAACATTTCTGAAATTTAATTAAATATTAGTATCGATTAATTAATGTACATGCAGAAATGTAATCGATATTTCGACTTTGTAAATGAATCGACTTTTTAAATATTGTTGTGTCTTCGCCAAGAGTTACAATACAATTTCGTTTTATAAAATTTTTTCTTTTTTAATTTTCAGTTGCTCAATTTTTTTATCGAAACAGGTAATTATAAAAATTTATAATTCCAAAACGGACTTATTATTTTAGCATTTATAAAATAAAGTTCAACCTAAATATCGATTAATCGATGTTTGTCGAGAACTGTAAACTATACTTTCTAGATAATTTTTGTACAATATTTAACGGTATGAGCTTTCATTAGTAGACACTTTATAAATAATCGATTTAATTTAAACGATTTTTTAGTTAAAGATTTCTGATAATTGAAATAATAGTTATAATGCAATTTTTTTCTATCGGAAATGGTAGCTAGTGGAAAATTAATCAACAATTTATCGATAATTTAGTTGAAGCTGTTAAGTTTTGTTACTGTTTATTTGACCTGATCCCTTAAACAAAATAAAATAATTTTATACGTTTTTATGTAATTCTTATTTCAATTCTTTCACTTTAATTTATCAACTTATTTTGTTATTATTATTTCAAAACAAAAACAGTTTTAATGAACACTAAAACTGCACAAGCAAAGTCCAACAGAAAATCTACACAGAAATGTTGAACTCAAAATTCATTAAAAAAAAAAATAACCTAAATATATATATATGTATATTTATATGTTAATATGAATGGTAAAAGTCAAACTCAGCCATTTGTCTAGTTTGCAAAACTGACAGCAAAGCGAGGTGGTCTTTGGATAATAAGAGAGAGCGAATGTTCATAAGGAAAAACATCATTTCGGTAATGTAAATTAATTGTGAGGAATCAAATTCCTTACAATAACAGAGCTAAAAGAGAGATAAAAAATTAAAACAATCTTTAACATTAAAAAGAAAAAATATTTATAGTAAATAATTAAAATAAGTTGTGTTCTGGTAATCGGCACAAAATTAATACTTGAAAATATGTATAAAGTTTTGAAATAGGATTTCAGCTTAAATTGTATATATGTATGTATTAAACTTATGCTGGTCGCCAGAATTGAACTGTGTGTATAGGAAAAAAAATCATTTTTTGTCAAACTCTTCCCTATTTATAAACTAGATATAATTTTTTCTAATCAACGTACATAAATACATATGTACATACTACATATGAACTTAACCCAAAAGTCTAAGCACTAGAAAAGGTGTTGTTATATATATTGGTGATCATTTCAATTAAGAGTGACTAGAAAACCTACAGTTAAATGTAAAATTTTATTCAAAATTAAATAATCCTTAAATACGCATTTATGTATTTCGATTTTAAATTTCAGTTAATGTAGAATTTTATATGCATACATATATATTTTAATGTTTTAATACAAAGTACTTAATACATATGACTTATACATGAAAAAATTGAAAATAAAAATAAATTAACACTCCTCTATACTATGTATATATACATGCATACTTAAAAAACTATTAAATTAATTAAAAGCTCTTACACACATACATATGTACATACATATTACCGAAATATACATACATATATAGTTTTTCTTACAACTCACATTTACCTTTACATACAGTACATAAACAATTAACTTCATCCGAGCCTAAAACGTTTTATAAAATAATTAATTCTTAAAAAAAAAGTGTGCACATACCTACATATATGTATACATATTTATACATTTTTTTTTAAATTACAATGCATTTTTTTCTAAGAAGTGCATACTTTTGTAAGCTCATTGTAAAATACTTAACAAAATATGCATACTTATATATTCGTATGTATAAATAAATAATGCAGCTGCCTGCATAATTATTTTCATATACAGCGATTTTTTGAGTTTTCCAATAAATACATATGTATATCAAATTTTTTCTATCTGTATAAACAACAATTAATTTTTCCAGTGTCAATTATGCAGTCATATAGAAAATTAGTTTTATAGAATTTGGCGGTAAAAATTTTAAAATTTTCTTCAATAAAATTTGATATTAAATATTTTTGTTAATTTTTTACATGCTTTCTTAAGCTTAAACATAAAATAAAAATAAATAATTTTGTTACTGTTGGAAGTGTCAATTAAAAAATCTAATATATATTTGATATTCAATTTGCTTTTATCTGTTAAAAAGGGGAAAATTTGATACCCGGAAGTGCAAATTTTATATGAGTTGTAATTTTTTCGCTAAATAATTTTAAATTCTCTAATGACATTTCTTTTAGATACAAGATAAAAGTATTTAGTAACCATTTCCATTAACCAATTTCTAACATCTTAAATATAAAGTGAAATGAAATAAAATAAAATAAAGTAACATCAAATAGAAAATTGAAAAAAAGAGAAAATAAACTAAAATAACTTAAAATCAAATAAAATAAAATAAAATAAAATAACACTAAAAATTAATTAAACTAAATTAAATTAAATAATTGTAAAAAATACAAATGACATATAATAAAAAAAAATTAATAAAAAATAAAATAAGAGAAAAGAATATAAGTAAATAAAAAAATAAATTAAATTTAAATGAGCTAATATAAAAAAATTGAAAAATAAGAAAAGAAAAAACTTAATAAAATTAAATAAAATGAAATAACATAAAATAAAATAAAACGAAGTAAAATAAAAAATAAAGAAAAATTAAAATATCAAAACAAATAAAATTAAAAAATAAAAGAAACTTAAATTTAATAAATAGAAAATACAATAGAATTAAACAAAAATATAAAAAAAATCAGATTAAATAAAAAATTAAAATAAAATTAAAAAAGAATAAAATAAAATAAAACAAAATAAAGTGAAATAAAAAATTAAAAGGTAAAATAAACTAACATACAGAATTGGAAAAAAATAATTATAAATAATTAATAGCAAAATAATATAAAATATGGTGAAATGAAATATGTGAAAAGAAAATAAAATTAAAATAAACTAAAATAACAAAATTAAAGTAATTTAAAATGAAATAAAATTAATTTAAATAAAAAACGAAACTTAAATAATATAAAAATATAAACTTGATAATAATATAAAGAAAATACAAATGCAACAAAATAGCATAGTAAAATAAAACAAAAAAAAAATAAAATTAAATAAATGTAAATAAAATAAAATTTAGTTAGATAAATAAAAAAAATAAAAATATACAAATAAACAAAACAAAATCAAATTTAATAAAATAAAATCAAATTGAATATAATAAAATAACACTAACTAATAAATAAGTAGAATAAAGCAAAATAGTCTAAATTAAATAAAAATAAAAATAAGAAATAAAACAAGGTAAAAACTAAAAAAAATACCTTATAAAATTAAAAATAAAATAATAAAAATTATACAAATATTAATAGAAAATACAAAATTAAACACATTGAAGTAAAGTAAAGAATAAGTAAATGAATATAAATATCATAAAATAAAATAAGATAATATTAAATAAATTAAACTAAACTAAAAAGAAAATAAAACAGAAAAATTTAATCAAATGAAAATATAAAAAAGTAAAATAAAATAAAAAATAAACTAAGCTAATAAAAAATAAAATACATTAAAGTAAAAAAATAAAAATAAAATGAAATAAAAAAATTAAAGTTGAATTAAACAAAATATAACAATTGAAATAAAACGAAACAAATAACAAAATCAAAGTCAACAAAATCGAAATAAAATAATATAAACTAATAAATAAATAAAATAAAATTAAAAGCATTAAAAGAAATTAAATAACCGAAAAGAAAATAAATTAAAATATAATAAAAATTACAAATTTAAATATAAATGTAACATATTCAACCAAGTATTATATACATACATATGCATAATATTACAAATGCATAACATGAAATTTACAAAATTAACATAAAACTTAAGAATATATATTTTCATAATATCGTTAGATTTATTAGTATACCAAAAAAAAAAATATATATATATATATATACATGTGTATAAAAATAAAATATTATGGCCGGCCCTACAAAAGCAGCTTTAGTGAGCTTAAAAAAGTGCGATAAGAGAGTTGCATGCAATCGATAACAACTTATATATGTATAGGCCAAAAATAGAAAACGAAATAAAACAAATGCTTAGCATTAAAAAGGCAGCGATAAATGTTTTTTATCGGTTGCGTAACTTTCTAATAGCAACTTGTTGCTCATTTTCTGGCTATAAATTGGCTAAACTTTTGAATACAGTATATTTTAAATTGTATGTATGTGTGTGTACTTATCAGTGTAAATTATAAAT